TATTTTAAGACAAAAAAAGCATCACATTTAGAGGCATTTAGAAAAAAGTAAATGTGATATTATATTTTCATGTTAAAGCTAAATGTTTAATGATTAATAAGAGCAACATTTTTGGTAAAATTCCTGAGAATTATGAACTCCATGTTTCTTTGTAGAGTAAATCTAAAAAACCCTCAGTATCTGAATTCTTTAGTCGTATAGTTATCTAATTGCATTGACAAGGGTTTTGAAATGAAATGAAATGCTGCATGTGTCCTGGTGATTATAAAGCATCTGTATCATATGGAAAATTATTCTGAGCAACACTGACCGTTTAAACGTGAAGCGTAACCCTCAGCTGTGAACCGTGTTCATGCTCAGGAAGCAGAGAAAGAGAAAGATGGCTGTAGGAGTTGGCACAGGGGCTGATGGTAAATGAAAGCTCATGGTTGTGTAATGCAGAGCACATGTCAAGCTGTTCAGACAGTCCTGCTCTCTCCTGACTCTTAAACATCATTAAATGAAACCTGTTTGTTTGCTTGTTTGTTCGTTCGTTTTGTAGACTATAGAGGTTATTAAAACTCTTCTGGGGATGGTAAAACAGTCAGTCTGCAAACTGTAAATGCACAAATGTTTCGTGTCAATGCTATAGTTATGCAAGAGAAATCCATCATTAAGATGTTTTTAACTCAAATACCATAATAGTCCATAATAACGCTTCCTCCAGTGAAGAAGTGTTCTGGTGTGAATCAGGAGAGAAATCTGCACAGATCAAGCAGCGTTTAAACAGCTCTAAACAAATATGTGGCTGGATTTTGATGTGAGAGACAACAGCAGATGCACTTTTTCACTGGAGGAAGCATTATTATGGATTATGGACTTTATACAGAACTTTATACATCATGGTAGTATTGTTGGACTTCCTTTATTTGTGTGAATTGGGGTGTAACTGCAGCTGCATTTTTATAATGCTGTTTATCTCTGTCTGTGAGCTGAATGTCTGATCATTACAGCATTACAGCTTGACTCGATTCTGTCGAGATGCACCTTTCATTCAGAGGACAGTTCGTTTTTCCATAAATAAGAAAAAAAACTGTTTTTGTCCAATATTCTCTCTTGCCTGGTGAATAACATGATATTTGATCATTTTGACTTGAAGGTTGTGAACGGTGTGCTTTGTGACGGCTGTGTATATGTCAGATTACCGGACGGGGCCGTGCTTCGTCCAGGAGCCCCGCAGGCCGTGTGACATGCAGTTGAGAGATTCTACATCAGGTGCTTGATCCTAACGAGACAGGAATATGGCAGACATCGGGTGTCTACAGATATGAACAAGTTAAATTTAAGACTTTTTAATACCACCTTACATGAAATTTAAGACCAAACATGCGATGGAAACACATAACAGCTTGATTTCTGTTCTGGCTTGTATTACTATTATGTCTACCTTATAGAAATATTTGACTCATAACAATGTGAATGAACAATTTTCATTTGAAATGAGAAATGTGGAACAGACCTTTTCATTGAGAAGGTAGAGAGGATATAGAAAATGGTTAACTGGATATTACACCATATGACATTATGGCATATGCCTGAGTTCTACGGATTTATTTCCTAACTCAGTCTCAACCTCTTTTAGTTCTGCGACCTTTTCTTTGTATCGCTTTCTCAGAATATTAGACTTGGTGATTAGCTGATTTACCCTCAGCTTGCTCTGCCAGTTTGTCTGCTTCTTTTTCAAGGCTGTTTGCCACCTCAGCTACTACCATCTTCCTCTTTTTGAGCTGCTCAATGTGGTCCTCTGCAGCTTTTCTCTTTGTGCATTGCTCTCCTGCTTTCACTCCCGATCATTTAACCAATACCGCACATGAAGGTCCAGTTGCTTGCTTTTAGTTGTCTGGTTCAGGGTCTCATCAAACATGATCACAAAAGCACCACATCTGTTGACCTCGGCTATTAGTTCTTTTTTTATATATGGCACCAGTCCAAACTTAGCTATATATCTGCTTTTATCTTTTCCACACGTAAATGTCTGAACAAGCCCCGAGTCCGGAAACATAGCTTTGAAGACCTCCTCAATCCCGTCATTTGACCTGAATGAGTGATGGCTTGTTACCCTTGTTGTTTGGCGTTGAGCCAAAAACTGTACGGAGGTCAGATGATGGCATTGTAGGCTGTGGATTTCCAACATCTGTGGTGACATCTTTGCTCGTGGTAAGGGTGGAACAGAAACCTTCAATTGCACTCTGCTTCTCACGGGCACTCGCATACTCCCTATGCTTCCCGCTCTGCGTGTGCGATTCCACCGCTTTGATGCCCATTGTACCCAGTTTAAAACATTTTCTACAAATGGCGCAGTTTGCCTCGTAGACATTTCCCGGCACCGGCCTCAACCACCACCAGAATTCATCTTTCTCGAGCCATTTATCATTAAATTTGCACTTACCCATTACAGCTACGGTACCTGCTGCCTCAATTCTCTCTGATGACGCAACGCAGTAACTTACCGCGGGAAGAAAAATCTTCGGTCTGTCCAATGATTGTAAAGTCATTAGCTCCGTCAGACTGAAGATATTTGAGCGGTAATGAGACCAAAAAGAATTAAGACCCATCGAATCCGAAGTTAAGACTTAATTACTATCATTAACCAGCTCAGAATAACAGCTTGATTTCTGTTCTGGCTTGTATTACTATTATGTCTACCTTATAGAAATATTTGACTCATAACAATGTGAATGAACAATTTTCATTTGAAATGAGAAATGTGGAACAGACCTTTTCATTGAGAAGGTAGAGAGGATATAGAAAATGGTTAACTGGATATTACACCATATGACATTATGGCATATGCCTGAGTTCTACGGATTTATTTCCTAACTCAGTCTCAACCTCTTTTAGTTCTGCGACCTTTTCTTTGTATCGCTTCCTCAGAATATTAGACTTGGTGATTAGCTGATTTACCCTCAGCTTGCTCTGCCAGTTTGTCTGCTTCTTTTTCAAGGCTGTTTGCCACCTCAGCTACTACCATCTTCCTCTTTTTGAGCTGCTCAATGTGGTCCTCTGCAGCTTTTCTCTTTGTGCATTGCTCTCCTGCTTTCACTCCCGATCATTTAACCAATACCGCACATGAAGGTCCAGTTGCTTGCTTTTAGTTGTCTGGTTCAGGGTCTCATCAAACATGATCACAAAAGCACCACATCTGTTGACCTCGGCTATTAGTTCTTTTTTTATATATGGCACCAGTCCAAACTTAGCTATATATCTGCTTTTATCTTTTCCACACGTAAATGTCTGAACAAGCCCCGAGTCCGGAAGCATAGCTTTGAAGACCTCCTCAATCCCATCATTTGACCTGAATGAGTGATGGCTTGTTACCCTTGTTGTTTGGCGTTGAGCCAAAAACTGTACGGAGGTCAGATGATGGCATTGTAGGCTGTGGACAACATCTGTGGTGACATCTTTGCTCGTGGTAAGGGTGGAACAGAAACCTTCAATTGCACTCTGCTTCTCACGGGCACTCACATACTCCCTATGCTTCCCGCTCTGCATGTGCGATTCCACCACTTTGATGCCCATTGTACCCAGTTTAAAACATTTTCTACAAATGGCGCAGTTTGCCTCGTAGACATTTCCCGGCAACGGCACCGGCCTCAACCACCACGAGAATTCATCTTTCTCGAGCCATTTATCATTAAATTTGCACTTACCCATTACAGCTACGGTACCTGCTGCCTCAATTCTCTCTGATGACGCAACGCAACAACTACCGCGAAAAATCTTCTGTCCAATCAATGATCAGTCATTGGGTCCGTCAGACTGGAGACATTTTTGGCCTTTTATTAGGAAAAATATATTTAAGACTTTTTAAAAACCCGCGGCCACCCTGCAGACAGCACCTTAAAGAGTAAGTTCGTCAACAATGTCCATTAACAGTTGGGATTGAAGTGATCACCACTAGGCGCATTTCCATTACAGATTTGTGCAAAACTTTGGCGATATTTCATAAATGTCGATAAAAAAGTATTGCGAAATGACGGCGTTTCCATTAACCAATGTTATGCGACTTAACCTTTAAGCTGCGACTTAAACTTAACGTAACCTTTTGCCTCTCGCAGTAAGTCATGGCAACGGATTTTGGCTATATTTATTCAAAGGAGGCTTATGCGTGTATCTTTACAGAAGCAGCAAAGAGAGCCGCTTCAGAAACTTGCGTGGCACGGCTGGAATAAACCATAGCCTGTATAAAAACATAAACACAAGCATTGAGTGGCGAAGTGTTTCTTGGCGGTTATAGTACATTGAAGAATGATCATATGACATTTTACATATGCCATGTGACCTGTAAATGCAAAAAAAACGTTTCCATTGCAGTTTTGCGAATTATCACTTTTTCGCATTGCCTGAAAAACCACCCCATGCAAGCGTAAAAACTTTTTTGCGATATATGGGAGTTTTTGCGAAATTGACGCGTTTCCATTAGGCGTATTTTCAATTAGCAATTTCAATTTGCACAATTTGAAGGGTAATGGAAACGCGCCTATTGTTGTAGGTCTATCTGAGAACAGTCGAGAAGACCCAGAGCAGCAGAAGCTTGAGTTCCAGTCAAGTCCAGCACCAGTGCACAAGGAAGAATTGTGACTTTGAGGCATTTCTAGAAAACAGAGGGGACTTGAGAGCTGTGCAGATTTGAGAAAGAGTTTTGTCCCTCTATGTTAAGCAGCAGTGTATTGAAAGTAGTGTGGCGACAAAGAGAGGTGCAAGTGAAATTCATCTGCATCAAACTCCCAAATGAATGGCAGATTTGGATGGTGTTTTGTCATCCACGCCACTGCGAGTATCATGAGGCTGGAATGAGAAGCAGGGCTGCGTGTCATTGGTATAAAATCCATGTGCCTCAGTCTCAGTCATGTTGTGTATAAGCAGAAGTGGGCTGTATTTCAGCTTGCTCCAGTCAATATTCCTGAGCAGTGCAGAGAAGAGGCTGAGTGCAGGTTTTAATGACACCAGCTGTTTCTATGATGTCTAGAGTGCCAGGAACTGCAGCTGCTGTTGTAAAGAACTGCTGTACTGACCAAGTGATGAGTTGTGCTGTTCGCCGAGTAGCTCTTTTAGCTTGTTTGCTTCCTTCACCACCACACTGGGCAGTTTCTTCTGTTCATTGTAACACCAGTGGACTGACTCAGCTACAGTTTATACTGTTTCTGAAACTTGCCCATCCACTCTCACTTTTCATCAACCATTGGGTTTAATGGGTATAACTAGACCTGAATTTTCTAATCACACCAGCATATTTCTGTAAATTACATCAACAAGTAACTGTCTTTATGAGTCACTGAATCATTCACTCAACGATTGGTTAAGAAATGCTGATTCATTCAGGAACAAAGCAATGACTGTCTTTATGAGATATTGAATCATTTACTCTCCCACTGCTGAGTGTTGCTGAGGTGTGCAGTAGTTGAACTGTAGTATAAACGCAAACTTCGCAAAATGTCCACTGATTCCTTGGCTGTTGTCTTCACATGGTTGAATGTGTTTTGAGTGACCAGTTGTTACACTCCTACTATTGTAGTCTCGTTGATTTGATGTTGGATTTACCTGCCTCACTGTGTGACATTATAAATGCAACTCTTTTAAAAAGAAGCGTGGTTGTTTGTTTTGATTATCATTCAGTCAGTAACTCAATCCTGGACTGTGGCTTGCCATTTGCAAACTCATCATTGACACTTCAAAGGGAGTTGTGTAATGTTTTCTCTTTGTCCAGATGTTGATGAATGTAAGGTTGAGCCTGAGCTGTGTAAAGGAGGAACGTGCATCAACACTGTGGGCTCGTGTCAGTGCCAGTGTCCTGCGGGTTTCCAGCAGCACAGGAGTTCGCTGATGTCTGAGGGTAAGTAACATACATGTTATTCTACATCAGTAAGCATGCCAGTAAACAAATAATAGCATGCTTAACGAAATCAGAGAGAGCATACAATCTCATCAATATAGAATTTATAAAGCCTCACTGTAATTGTCTGATCATGACCCACAGATAATAACACAGAAAATGACAGGTGTTTTGTGTGCAGGAGGTTATATTTGAGCTCCAGAGAAATGGCTCTGTCTGAACATACACATTCTAGCGGATCTGTCTGTCTGTCTGTCATCTATCTATCTATCTATCTATCGTCTCTCTGTCTGTCTGTCTATCTATCGTCTGTCTGTCTATCTATCTATCGTCTGTCTATCTATCGTCTGTCTGTCTATCTATCTATCGTCTGTCTATCTATCGTCTGTCTGTCTATCTATCTATCGTCTGTCTATCTATCGTCTGTCTGTCTATCTATCTATCGTCTGTCTATCTATCGTCTGTCTGTCTATCTATCTATCGTCTGTCTATCTATCGTCTGTCTGTCTATCTATCTATCGTCTGTCTATCTATCGTCTGTCTGTCTATCTATCTATCGTCTGTCTATCTATCGTCTGTCTGTCTATCTATCTATCGTCTGTCTATCTATCGTCTGTCTGTCTATCTATCTATCGTCTGTCTATCTATCGTCTGTCTGTCTATCTATCTATCGTCTGTCTATCTATCGTCTGTCTGTCTATCTATCTATCGTCTGTCTATCTATCGTCTGTCTGTCTATCTATCTATCGTCTGTCTATCTATCGTCTGTCTGTCTATCTATCTATCGTCTGTCTATCTATCGTCTGTCTGTCTATCTATCTATCGTCTGTCTATCTATCGTCTGTCTGTCTATCTATCTATCGTCTGTCTATCTATCGTCTGTCTGTCTATCTATCTATCGTCTGTCTATCTATCGTCTGTCTGTCTATCTATCTATCGTCTGTCTATCTATCGTCTGTCTGTCTATCTATCTATCGTCTGTCTATCTATCGTCTGTCTGTCTATCTATCTATCGTCTGTCTATCTATCGTCTGTCTGTCTATCTATCTATCGTCTGTCTATCTATCGTCTGTCTGTCTATCTATCTATCGTCTGTCTATCTATCGTCTGTCTGTCTATCTATCTATCGTCTGTCTATCTATCGTCTGTCTGTCTATCTATCTATCGTCTGTCTATCTATCGTCTGTCTGTCTATCTATCTATCGTCTGTCTATCTATCGTCTGTCTGTCTATCTATCTATCGTCTGTCTATCTATCGTCTGTCTGTCTATCTATCTATCGTCTGTCTATCTATCGTCTGTCTGTCTATCTATCTATCGTCTGTCTATCTATCGTCTGTCTGTCTATCTATCTATCGTCTGTCTATCTATCGTCTGTCTGTCTATCTATCTATCGTCTGTCTATCTATCGTCTGTCTGTCTATCTATCTATCGTCTGTCTATCTATCGTCTGTCTGTCTATCTATCTATCGTCTGTCTATCTATCGTCTGTCTGTCTATCTATCTATCGTCTGTCTATCTATCGTCTGTCTGTCTATCTATCTATCGTCTGTCTATCTATCGTCTGTCTGTCTATCTATCTATCGTCTGTCTATCTATCGTCTGTCTGTCTATCTATCTATCGTCTGTCTATCTATCGTCTGTCTGTCTATCTATCTATCGTCTGTCTATCTATCGTCTGTCTGTCTATCTATCTATCGTCTGTCTATCTATCGTCTGTCTGTCTATCTATCTATCGTCTGTCTATCTATCGTCTGTCTGTCTATCTATCTATCGTCTGTCTATCTATCGTCTGTCTGTCTATCTATCTATCGTCTGTCTATCTATCGTCTGTCTGTCTATCTATCTATCGTCTGTCTATCTATCGTCTGTCTGTCTATCTATCTATCGTCTGTCTATCTATCGTCTGTCTGTCTATCTATCTATCGTCTGTCTATCTATCGTCTGTCTGTCTATCTATCTATCGTCTGTCTATCTATCGTCTGTCTGTCTATCTATCTATCGTCTGTCTATCTATCGTCTGTCTGTCTATCTATCTATCGTCTGTCTATCTATCGTCTGTCTGTCTATCTATCTATCGTCTGTCTATCTATCGTCTGTCTGTCTATCTATCTATCGTCTGTCTATCTATCGTCTGTCTGTCTATCTATCTATCGTCTGTCTATCTATCGTCTGTCTGTCTATCTATCTATCGTCTGTCTATCTATCGTCTGTCTGTCTATCTATCTATCGTCTGTCTATCTATCGTCTGTCTGTCTATCTATCTATCGTCTGTCTATCTATCGTCTGTCTGTCTATCTATCTATCGTCTGTCTATCTATCGTCTGTCTGTCTATCTATCTATCGTCTGTCTATCTATCGTCTGTCTGTCTATCTATCTATCGTCTGTCTATCTATCGTCTGTCTGTCTATCTATCTATCGTCTGTCTATCTATCGTCTGTCTGTCTATCTATCTATCGTCTGTCTATCTATCGTCTGTCTGTCTATCTATCTATCGTCTGTCTATCTATCGTCTGTCTGTCTATCTATCTATCGTCTGTCTATCTATCGTCTGTCTGTCTATCTATCTATCGTCTGTCTATCTATCGTCTGTCTGTCTATCTATCTATCGTCTGTCTATCTATCGTCTGTCTGTCTATCTATCTATCGTCTGTCTATCTATCGTCTGTCTGTCTATCTATCTATCGTCTGTCTATCTATCGTCTGTCTGTCTATCTATCTATCGTCTGTCTATCTATCGTCTGTCTGTCTATCTATCTATCGTCTGTCTATCTATCGTCTGTCTGTCTATCTATCTATCGTCTGTCTATCTATCGTCTGTCTGTCTATCTATCTATCGTCTGTCTATCTATCGTCTGTCTGTCTATCTATCTATCGTCTGTCTATCTATCGTCTGTCTGTCTATCTATCTATCGTCTGTCTATCTATCGTCTGTCTGTCTATCTATCTATCGTCTGTCTATCTATCGTCTGTCTGTCTATCTATCTATCGTCTGTCTATCTATCGTCTGTCTGTCTATCTATCTATCGTCTGTCTATCTATCGTCTGTCTGTCTATCTATCTATCGTCTGTCTATCTATCGTCTGTCTGTCTATCTATCTATCGTCTGTCTATCTATCGTCTGTCTGTCTATCTATCTATCGTCTGTCTATCTATCGTCTGTCTGTCTATCTATCTATCGTCTGTCTATCTATCGTCTGTCTGTCTATCTATCTATCGTCTGTCTATCTATCGTCTGTCTGTCTATCTATCTATCGTCTGTCTGTCTGTCTGTCTGTCTATCTATCTAACACTAACTGAACTGAAGGTTTTGACACAAGGCTGGAGATACAGAGGGGATGTGAATCTCTTACTGAAAGACAAGAGCCACAGCTACACAGGTGAGAAAAGCTTTCCACCCATAGAGAGATACCTTTGAGAAATTGAAAAAGAACCAGAGCGGCATTTGAACTGCTTCTGTGTCAGATGAGCACAGACAGGAGGAAGTACAGAGAGGGAACTCTGTGACCTCCTTTATACTGTCAATAACTGCAGATCAGTGCCAGAGCATGTGTGTCTCCGTCTGTCTGAGCAATTCTGACAGTATCCTTAGATTTTAATGGAAGCACATGTACAAACCACATCCATAAGCACAGATGTCATGCAATGTTACTGTTCAAAGCAATTTCCTGTTCCATAGGTGAAGTCTATCCTTATGCCTGTGTGTAGTGAATGTATTGGTTAATACAGTACAACAAACTAATAAATGCCGGAGTATCCAGAGATACACACACTGCTAGAAGGTTTATGAACACCCTTGACTGAGCTATATGTGTAAATGCAGGGCGGACACACATATGTAGAAGAGACTGTAATCGAGCGTATCACCTTGAAGTGGATCAAATGTTCACCTAAATATGACCTTTTCATGGAACAACTTTATGCTCTGTGTTTTGTTCAGTGTGTTGGACTAGACGTCTTTCTCTCATTGTGCATAGGCATGTGTTTGTGTGTATATTTAAGAGCAGCACACAGGCGTGTGTTTTGCGTCGGTTGTGAATGGAAATCAGCGCACGCTTGCTTCAGTAAAGTCCAGTGCTGCTGTGAGCGTGGACGCTGCTGAAGTCAAAGCACACCTCATGAAATGTGTCCCATACCAGGATCAGGTGATTAATACACTCCTTAAAAGGCTCAAATCATACATACTTTGCTATTTGTTTTTGTTTTTTATTATTTTATATTTATTTATTATCAATAAACAACTGGTTAAAGCTTTATTCAAAGTGGCATTACCTTCTAGGTATACATTTTATTAGGTTTAAAATTTGACAGCGACTGTTTTGATGGAAATATTCCTGAAATAAAAGCCACTGCCACTGGACTCATCAAAGCAAAAGTTCCTAACAACACACTTCAATAATGTCTTTCCTCTTACATTTGTTCTGTTGTCTGAATCCGTTAGAACTACCAACAATGGCTTGGGCCATTTCTGAGAAGTTATTGGAGTAACGGACAGAAAAGACAATAGTTTGACATTGCTTTTATACAACAGTTCAATTCAATTCAAGTTTATTTCTATAGCGCTTTTCACAATACAAATCGTTGAAAGTTTCTACAATATTTAGTGGTAGCTTATCAGTGGTGACTGTCAGTTAATGTACATATGGCTTCCATTTATTTGTTAATAATGCAATTAATAATAATATTAAATAATTAATAATATTTTATTAATTTACTGCATACCCGCCAGCCAATCAGAATCCAGTATTCACACAGACTATGGAATAGAAGATAGTGCCCATGTTGCTAGTCATTTAGTCTAGTTCATGTGTATTTATGGGTACACAGAGCAGTTGAGATAAATCAGGTAGGTTATTAGTGAATCTGTCTTTGGTGGCTGGAACAATAGTTCTGCCCGGACGATAACGCGGAGCCATATAGTTAATATCAGTAATACGCAGCATGCACGATACAAGGAAATGGTCAGTAACATCATCACTTTGAGGTACGATATCTATATCAGTAAGATAAATTCCATGCTCATGGCATCTCTCTCTATACTTCTCATGTGTTAAAGCTACATTTTCTCTTTTTCATTCTCTATCTCAGTTAACATTCCACATACACGCTGGCTATTATTAATTGTACACATTAATAATTATTCCATCATGCAAATACTTTGTAGTTATTTCAAGAGCCGGTACTGCTAATAAATCATTCCTCTTATGGACTACACTTCCATTCAGAAATAAGTATTTTTGAAGGCTGCATTTACTTAAAATAGTAATATTAATATAAATAGTAATGCTTCCTATTATAACACGTTCTGTCTTCTCACCTTTTTAGTTGACCAAACCAAGATTTACTGGCTCTCACATTGCTGGAGCAAAGCCAGATCTTAGTGTGGCCAGGAGACCTTCTCAGGTTGAAGAGCAGCCCAGCGCAGCAGTGTCTAGTGCCTCTATACCAAGCACCAGTCTCTGTAAGTAATTGCATAATCTACATTGTATTCTATGAAGACACATTCCACGTTCCATTCAACATGATGTTACAAAGGATTTTGATTTCAAATAAATGCTGTTCTTCAAACTTAATTCTGAAAAATACCACTGTCACACTTATGGACTTTGTTGTGTTAACTCTCCTCATGTTCCTTGACCTAGTTTCTGTCTCCCCTTGATTATGTTATTCAGTTCACCTGTGTCTAGTTAATTTACTCATTCGTCCCTCATTGGTCTGTCTACTTAAGCTCTAGTCTGTTCAGTTTGTCTTGGTCCGTGTGTTACTGCCTTCCTGTGTGGATTAATTAAAGACTATTTACACTTCATTTTCATCTTTGTGTGCTTTCCTCAACACAGTAAGCGTGACAACCACTGTAATGCAGTTTTAAGTATCAGACATTTTCATCTAATAGTAATGAATGTTTGTTGAATAGAATGGTTTCTGAAGGATCGTGTAACACTGAAGACTGGAGTAATGATGCTGAAAATGTGTTCTTGCCCCCATAGAAATAGATTACATTTCACAAATTTAAATTGTAGTAATGTTTCACAATGTAATAATATATTTTTAGTTTGTACTGTTTTTACTGTATTTTTGATCAAATGCAACTCTGGTGAACAGAATTGGTTTCTTTTATAAACGTTTGGACCTCAAACTTTTAAACTGTAGTGTATGATATACTCTAGGATGAGTTAAAGTTATTGTAATGTTATATTTACACAATCTATTATATTTGACTTCATGATTGTACAGACACCAGATGCTCAAGTTCCAGCCGCTGTCCCCAGAGCCACTGCAGATGTGTCCAGTCCCGCTCAGCCATGCAGTATTGTCTCCGTAAGTAATTTCCTATTCTGGTGGTCTAAAACTGTAATTAAATCAGCTGTCGCTTTGGAACGAACTTGATCTATTTTGTTCTTTTCACTTAACAGAGATGTGAAAAGGCTCACATGCCCTGCAATTTTGAATATAACTTTTATAACCAGTAGTTTCTTAAAACACATTCAAGCTGAGAAAAAACAACAATCAAACTATTGTCATAATGTGAATTGAGTTTACTTGATACTGATTTATTAATGATAAACAATGTATATATGTTAACATTCATGTGTCAAAATAAAGAGATATTGTTTGTAAAATCTCAAATGTTTTATTTCATATATTAAACAGGATTTCAGAATAATTATTTTGTTACTTTTTTTTGGATGACAGCAGTGTATAATGTAAAGTTGTCAGTTTCATTGTCATAATCACTGTAATACTAAAGGTATTTAAGTGAAAACTATTATTGCAATGATAATTTCATGTGAAGGTAATCATGCATCAAAATAAACTGCTTAAAATGTGCTTAAAAAATAAAATGACCTTACTTGACTAAATGTTTTGTCTTTTTTCCTTCACAGACAGCTCATTCTGGGGCATTATTGCAAGGTCCATCTGTAGTTCCGCTTCCTCGTTTGTGGTCGGAGACCTTGCCACCAGAGGATCACAAGTGGATTGGCAAAAGGCTTTTCAAAATGGGATCCAAGGGAAAGCCAGGGCTTCGTGATAACCTCCAGCTCTGGTATTACCCACCACAGCCAGCACTTATTTACAATCAGGCTCCAGCTCCAGACAGATTCTTTTGTCATTCTTTTCTGCTGTGGATGCCGTACAAGCTGTGGAGGGTTAAGGTTCTCTGTCCCAATCCTGCCTGTGGACAACATCAGCTGACAAGGTCACGGCAGGTTCTAGACATTGACAGAACGTACAACATGGTCACAGAAACCCTCATCTGTACCAAGTGTAGAGCCTCGCATGTGTCCTGGAGTCAGACTGTCCTGCAGCAGCTAGATCTGGGCCATCGCTCTGAGTTTCAGGTCATCCTCACGCGGAAGTAAGTACACTTTCATTCCTCATCCAGTTGTTAGCCCATCATCACATATATAAGCAAATACTTTACAAATCAAATATCTAAAATATATGAATGTGTGGATTTTGCATTTCCTAAGGTACGCCTGTGATATGCGGGTCATCCGGCTCTTGTCATAATGTCAATTGAGTTTACTTGATACTGATTTATTAATGATAAACAATGTATAGATGTTAACATTCATGTGTCAAAATAAAGAGATATTGTTTGTAAAATCTCAGAAAATTTGTATTATTTCATATATTAAACAGGATTTCAGAATAATTATTCCGTTCCTTTTTTTGGATGACAGCAATGTATAATGTAAAGTTATCGGTTTCATTGTCATAATAATCACTGTAATACCAAAGGTATTTAAGTGAAAACTATAATTGCAATGATGATTTTATGTGAAAGTAGTCATGGATAAAAATAAAAGGCTTAAAGTGCTTAAAATTTAGAATGACCTTACTTGACTAAATGTTTTGTCTTTTTTTCCTTCACAGACACTCATTCTGGGGCATTATTGCAAGGTCCATCTGTAGTTCCGCTTCCTCGTTTGTGGTCGGAGACCTTGCCACCAGAGGATCACAAGTGGATTGGCAAAAGGCTTTTCAAAATGGGATAGGGCGGTGCGCTTCTGAAGACATACAGATGTGCCAGAGACTCCACTTCTCTTCAATCCTTTCATTTACACCTTAACCGTTTCATCCCAGGTACGTCTTTGTCACACACACTGTGCATATGTAAAGAAAGAACATTAAGTGTCTCTGTGTGTTTAACACTCCCTAATAACTGTCGTGTCTGTTTACAGAGACCAGTGCAACAGTCTGAACTTTCAGGTTTATTTGCTGGAGGGTCTACAGGTGGAACCTGTCATCAGAGCCATCAGCTTACACAGCTGCACCGGAGAACTTGCTCACTGTGTCAACCGCAATCATGAAAAGCTGTTTGGCAGGAAAGTGGGCCTCACATTGTGTCCCCCCCCTGCACGCTACACCGGTAAGAGAAATTATTATTGTTAATTAACTTGCAATTTCTGTGTAATTTGTCGATATTTTATATTTAAGCCTATAAAGTCTACTGTATCTGTACTCTAGACCTCTAAATTATCAACATGCCCTCTGTCATCTGATTGATATCTTCGATCAAGTAAAAGGCCTTTCAGTATAATTGTTTTTGAAACAATTTAATTTACCTTTTAATTTACTGTTGTTTGAAAACTTGTGTGCTGTGTTCAGTCAAGAAGATTTCCTTTGCACTAGTAGTCAACAGTGGTCTTTAGTGAGGCAAAGTCATTTTTATAACGCTTTATATAATATGGATTGCATCACAGTCAGGGAAATAACAGCATTAATGTTGAAAAATTTAACTTTTTTTTTTTTTTTTGATATACAGTACATAAATTGTTGCCAAATGTGAACTGTTAAAAATGTAAACCAAACTCAACTTTTTGAGCTGCATAAAGGCTTTACATGTAATAAATGCTCAGAATATTGACTTGCCATGTAATTCTCACATGCTGTATAACTGAGAAAATGTGATTACCTGTGCATAGGCCAAATTACTACAAACCTGTATTACTCGACTAGACTAGCATACAGTAGATATTTCAATTAACTGCTGAAAATATATTTTTTTTCCAATCATCATTGAATGAATCATTATGAATTATACTGTCAGCCACTCGCTGTGTTCATCATGATTTCTGAGCAGCACATGAAGCAGTCCCTCCAGTGTAAGCAGAGCTTGAGTGCACTGTAGACACTAGTCAGTCTAAACGTACATTCAGCACGCTACTGGTAAACTGTGGCGCTAGTGCTTTAGAGACTTGAGCTCCAGATCCCGGGCCTGAATGAACTCCGCATGCTTTTTTCCAATCATCATTGAATGAATCATTATGAATTATACTGTCAGCCACTCGCTGTGTTCATCATGATTTCTGAGCAGCACATGAAGCAGTCCCTCCAGTGTAAGCAGAGCTTGAGTGCACTGTAGACACTAGTCTGGATAAACGTACATTCAGCACGCTACTGGTAAACTGTGGCGCTAGTGCTTTAGAGACTTGAGCTCCAGATCCCGGGCCTGAATGAACTCCGCATGCACTGTACCGACTGAATGGAAATGTGGAAAGATGCTCATCACCAGCAGAAACAGACTGCAGCAACTGATTATCATTTCAGTTTATTTTTATATATATATATTGCAATAAAGATATACAAAGCATTGATACCCTTAACCGTTAAAATGTTAGAAAAAAGCATACACGTGACAAATAACAGTAGAGTATATCAAAACATTACTGTTCCAGCACAGCCAGTCGATCAGATCCACCCTCACGCGTCAGCAGAGCCATCTTTAAAAGGCTTGTAAGAGATAGAAATGTGACCCAACGCTGAAAGATGAAAATCTGCAGACTAAACCCAAACAACTAAAAAAAGAAAAATAATTCACATAAAACTACTGTAACAGAAGAAAGAAAACCCTGAAATAAATATATTTCTCATCATATTAATTTGCCGTTATTATTCCACTCCTTTGATTAATCTGGTTAGGTTAAAGATATCTACACGTTAGTGAGGAAGTAGTGTGAACTCATGTGGACACGCAGCAATAACATGAAACAGACTTTGGCAACACAAAGTCTCAGACAGACGGAGAGGCCCAGAGCAAAAACAAACGCCAGAGGAACCTTTGAGAGGCGCTTTACAGCTGCAGCTAGATCAGTGAGAAACACACACGTTCTATGCTTGTGACACACTCTCCCTTTTCTATATCTACATATAATATACAAGTGAATTGGTGATTGAGTCGTGGTCGGGTGAACGAGTGCTGTGGCCATACAAACACAGAACAGAGAAGATTGTACCGTCAGCATCACTAACCTCACCCACATGCGGCGCACACAGTTACGCACTTTAAATACTAGTTTATATTGAGAACTATACATATGAATAATATATTCACTCGAACTCTGTCACATGGAGTATTTCTCAGGCTGTGAATGGAGCGCACACTGAACCTGCGACAGCACAACACACAGAGTCTGTGAGCAAAACTAGTGTTGGAAACCAGAGTCGAAGCGTGACGAAAGCCGTCGTATTCAGCCGGACCGCGATGGACTCGCAAACGCTGACCCATGAGGCTAACTGACCAACACTCCGCTTTATAGCTATAGATTCAAACTAAAGCATGATGGGCCAAACATCCCAGCATTCAATCACAAGAGTCAACCGGACAAACATTCAGGAACAGAACAGAGCGAATCCGCATCGGTTTTCTCGACGGCTCTGAAGAAAAACCAACGCTAACGATGAACCCGGCACTCGATCCTGAGTTTAGATGCACGATTTCAACGAGTCGCACGCAGTCCATCTGCATAGAGGAACGAATCCGTTTCATTCAGCGCCGAATACATTCTTACAGCTTCAAACCACACATGAACACATCTCGGGACCTCCAGTGAAGGCCTCGAGCCACAGAAACACCTCAATGTACGATTCTAGACTGCTTTATAAAACAGACAGAGGCTTTCTGGTCTGGAGAACATTCTGCTTCAGTCGATCAACGAGCCAGTATGGCTTGAGGACAGTAAACACAATCATCCCCTCATCTGTTAAGGCAAAGGTCTGGTCTGTAGCAGGATCTGTGATTTAAGGGCTTCGCTCTTATTTGGTTGATTGTTAGTTTGAAAGGATCTGACGGCTCTTTCTCCTTCAGACAGACGGCACTCATCATTGCATCTCCATCACACCAAAAACCATTCAACTGCACGCTAGGGAAAACTAATATAGTTCTGTTAAAGTTCTTTACATCAGACTACTGAAGATGATTGTAATCACCCTGTAGTTCAGCTCGATCATTGTAACGAGAACATGGAGGGGCGCGGCGCTAAAACTCCACAACTCTTTCAATGCTTAAAAGGAAGACGTAAAACTCTGAAGAAGAAAAAAATATTTAAAAAAATCTGGCTACAAAAAAGCGAAGAAGTGTTTTCAAATGCGGCGTGGTGGAAACCTCAGTCCACTCGCGCTAAAACGTGATCAAATCAAGGAAGATTTACATTTAAAACCCAATAAAAACAAGCAGCCTACATCTATTCCGTTATAAATCACCAGTCAGGGAAAAGTTTAATTGAATCTGATTGCACAGGAAGGCACATCCACAAGGCTATAAAAGGTGTTGCAAAGAATCGTGTGTTTTTCTTCAAAGTGAGAAAATAAGAAATGAGGTGATTATTGCTTCATCAAGAGCAAATTAAAAAGAGAGGGGAAAAAAATCCACAACTCAAAAAGTTGCGACAGTCATAGTAATAACAATGATAACAACAATCAGTGTAACAAGGTGTGCTCGGAAACCTGTGCGCTGAGGACAATATAAACCGTCAAACGCTGATCTTTCCTGTTGAGCGCTGCGGCGTGGAAGGAGTCCGTTTGTTTCAGCTCTGTCGAGAAACGTCTATCAGCATCATCATCATCATCATCATCATCATCATCATCATCATCATCGGTGAGAAACACACACGTTCTATGCTTGTGACACACTCTCCCTTTTCTATATCTACATATAATATACAAGTGAATTGGTGATTGAGTCGTGGTCGGGTGAACGAGTGCTGTGGCCATACAAACACAGAACAGAGAAGATTGTACCGTCAGCATCACTAACCTCACCCACATGCGGCGCACACAGTTACGCACTTTAAATACTAGTTTATATTGAGAACTATACATATGAATAATATATTCACTCGAACTCTGTCACATGGAGTATTTCTCAGGCTGTGAATGGAGCGCACACAGAACCTGCGACAGCACAACACACCGAGTCTGTGAGCAAAACTAGTGTTGGAAACCAGAGTCGAAGCGTGACGAAAGCCGTCGTATTCAGCCGGACCGCGATGGACTCGCAAACGCTGACCCATGAGGCTAACTGACCAACACTCCGCTTTATAGCTATAGATTCAAACTAAAGCATGATGGGCCAAACATCCCAGCATTCAATCACAAGAGTCAACCGGACAAACATTCAGGAACAGAACAGAGCGAATCCGCATCGGTTTTCTCGACGGCTCTGAAGAAAAACCAACGCTAACGATGAACCCGGCACTCGATCCTGAGTTTAGATGCACGATTTCAACGAGTCGCACGCAGTCCATCTGCATAGAGGAACGAATCCGTTTCATTCAGCGCCGAATACATTCTTACAGCTTCAAACCACACATGAACACATCTCGGGACCTCCAGTGAAGGCCTCGAGCCACAGAAACACCTCAATGTACGATTCTAGACTGCTTTATAAAACAGACAGAGGCTTTCTGGTCTGGAGAACATTCTGCTTCAGTCGATCAACGAGCCAGTATGGCTTGAGGACAGTAAACACAATCATCCCCTCATCTGTTAAGGCAAAGGTCTGGTCTGTAGCAGGATCTGTGATTTAAGGGCTTCGCTCTTATTTGGTTGATTGTTAGTTTGAAAGGATCTGACGGCTCTTTCTCCTTCAGACAGACGGCACTCATCATTGCATCTCCATCACACCAAAAACCATTCAACTGCACGCTAGGGAAAACTAATATAGTTCTGTTAAAGTTCTTTACATCAGACTACTGAAGATGATTGTAATCACCCTGTAGTTCAGCTCGATCATTGTAACGAGAACATGGAGGGGCGCGGCGCTAAAACTCCACAACTCTTTCAATGCTTAAAAGGAAGACGTAAAACTCTGAAGAAGAAAAAAATATTTTAAAAAATCTGGCTACAAAAAAGCGAAGAAGTGTTTTCAAATGCGGCGCGGTGGAAACCTCAGTCCACTCGCGCTAAAACGTGATCAAATCAAGGAAGATTTACATTTAAAACCCAATAAAAACAAGCAGCCTACATCTATTCCGTTATAAATCACCAGTCAGGGAAAAGTTTAATTGAATCTGATTGCACAGGAAGGCACATCCACAAGGCTATAAAGTGTAGCAAAGAATCGTGTGTTTTCTTCAAAGTGAGAAAATAAGAAATGAGGTGATTATTGCTTCATCAAGAGCAAATTAAAAAGAGGGGGGAAAAAAATCCACAACTCAAAAAGTTGCGACAGTCATAGTAATAACAATGATAACAACAATCAGTGTAACAAGGTGTGCTCGGAAACCTGTGCGCTGAGGACAATATAAACCGTCAAACGCTGATCTTTCCTGTTGAGCGCTGCGGCGTGGAAGGAGTCCGTTTGTTTCAGCTCTGTCGAGAAACGTCTATCAGCATCATCATCATCATCATCATCATCATCATCATCATCATCGGTCTGAGGTGCTGTGCTCGTCTGAGAGCGCTCTACGAGTAGAAGGTGAGGACGCTCTGATGGTTCCCACGCACCAAGAGGATGGGTGGCAGGTCTTTGGATATTGTGTCCAGCCAGGCCATGTAAAGAGCGCTGGAGACGGCTCCTTTCCTGGCCAGCGGCATGCTCCTGTTACACACACACACACACACACACACTATCAGAGCTGGCTGGAAACACCTCTCTCAGACATCTCTTCACTCTCAGGACACACTGAACACTGCTCCATAAGTGCTGATATAACAGTCTCTCTCGGACAGTCACAGCACTACACCAGTAGATGGCAGCATGTGACCGTCTTTACGAGTCACTGAAACGCTGGTGTTTGTAACTTACATGACGATGAGGTTGGCTGTGCTCGAGTGCTCCTTCAACAGCTCGTTCAGTCGGATCTGACGGTTACTCTGAGGAAACAAAACAAATCAATTAGCAGCAAGACTGAAGTTGCTGTATCTGTTAGCAGCTGAGAAAACTAACTCTGCAGACAAGCATTTGGAAACAGTGCATCTACATACCATCATTTCACTCCACTGAGTCATGAGCACTCTAGCTAGTCTTTGTCTTAACCTTCACGTTCGAAAAATGTCATTACGGCTACTGTTTTCTGACTCTATTGGCAGAAAGAGAGCCGTCAGCCCTGACCAAACATTACCTCCGTGAGAATCGTGTGTGCTGCTCTGGTTCTGTTGGATACGCTCAATCACTCAGCTCTTCACCAGAACTAACAGCAACAGGGTAGGACATGCGCTACTTCCCGTGGTTCTGTTCTCATCTTTAAAACTTAGCATTCATCACTCGTGGGGTACCACAGGGCTCAATTCTGGGTCCTTGTTGTCCTCTCTTGACAAACAACCAACTTATCGCTCTTTTCTAAACCATTACTTTGCCCAGCAATGATGTTTCCTGCTGGATCATTTTGTTACATAAAGATTGAAAATGCAAGGTTTTGTGAATTTCTTCCATTGTGTTAAATAAGATTTCATTCATAATTTATACAGTAGGTTTATTTAGTAATAGATAATGAAGAGTACCTTTGTCTGTTTCTGGTTGTGAAGCAAAGGCTCACACTCATTCATTTAGTGAAGCTTAAAGGTGGGGTATGTATTTTTTCGAAAACGCTTTAGAAAACTGATTCGGGCCGACTAGCAAAACAAACTTGTAGCCAATCAGCAGTAAGGGGCGTGTCTACTCATGATGTGGAGGAGAGAGCGTTCAGTGCACAGGACGGACATTAGCGAGCCGAGCGACAGAAAGATAGAGATGGCGGATAAAAAAACAAAAGAGGAAACCGTCTGCGGAACAAAAGAAGGCAATAAGGCAAGAAGTAGGACTCGAATAAATATCGGATCAGCTTTCCAGCACTGGAGAGAACTCAAGGAGCGGAAGGCCTGCGATCGGACGCCGAGGTGGCTTTGTTTCTTCTTGAGAGGTGAGTAACATTGGTTTTGCTTTGTTTCACAGAACTAATATATGCGAAATATATGCTGGTTTTTGCTTGAACATGCTCGTGTGTCATGTTCGCTTGTTTGTTCATCTGCAGTCATATTGTCGTTCCCTTCAGCTATGATAAAGACACATTCATTTCCACAGCCTATAAGCCTGGAGCATCTAAACCTCCACTGTCTGTTTCAAGCGTCAGCTCCCGAAGTGTGTCCGAAAAGTCAGATTTATCCCCAGTTTCACAGACAAGGCTTAAGGCTAGTCCCAGCCTAAAATGCAAGTCTGAGCCGTGTTAACTGAAAGAAACTTGCACTGACTGATCTTAAAATATATCAGTGCCTTTGTTTTGGCTCGAGATGCACACCAGTAATGTGTTTTCTAAGGCACGTTTATGAAAAATTACTTAAATGTCATAATTGAACTATGGCCTAATCCTGGCTTAGGCTAAACCCTTTCTGTGAAACCAGGCCATTATGTTTAATACAGCAGATTCCGCAATAATCGTTGCCTGGGTTACGTACCTATGTGTGGGGCGGAGCTATCAAAATAGGGGCGAGATTTGAATTATCAACATTGGCTGCCAGAAATCACTTACCCCACCTTTAAAAGAGACTCGCTTATGGTAAAGACAAACAGTTTTGCAAAATGAAAATTCAGTCGTGTTTCTGCACTGGCTCCGTGGCTCCAAACACCACAAAAACACTCTTCTTGTATGATCAATTTAGTTTTAGAAGTTTAGCTCGTTTAGTTTTATATTTTAGAGAACAGAATAGAGGCAATAGTCTGGAAACACAAATATTCCTCTATACTTGTTTTCTTTTTCCATGCTTATTCAGACCAGGAAACTACTCTCATCAAATCCCATACTTCTCCTCAAATCTCATGCATTCGTGTGAGCTCCTGTACTCATGGGCTGTGCTTTGTGCGTCTCTGCTTTGATCGATCATCTTTAATGTGCTTCATGAATAAATGTGACAGGAGGTGTGTGTTGAGACCTTGGCTCTGTAGAGCTCCAGCTCATTGTCTGTGATTCTCCAGGGCTCTTCGCTCTTCATACACACACACACACACACACACACTATCAGAGCTGGCTGGAAACACCTCTCTCAGACATCTCTTCACTCTCAGGACACACTGAACACTGCTCCATAAGTGCTGATATAACAGTCTCTCTCGGACAGTCACAGCACTACACCAGTAGATGGCAGCATGTGACCGTCTTTACGAGTCACTGAAACGCTGGTGTTTGTAACTTACATGACGATGAGGTTGGCTGTGCTCGAGTGCTCCTTCAACAGCTCGTTCAGTCGGATCTGACGGTTACTCTGAGGAAACAAAAAAAATCAATTAGCAGCAAGACTGAAGTTGCTGTATCTGTTAGCAGCTGAGAAAACTAACTCTGCAGACAAGCATTTGGAAACAGTGCATCTACATACCATCATTTCACTCCACTGAGTCATGAGCACTCTAGCTAGTCTTTGTCTTAACCTTCACGTTCGAAAAATGTCATTACGGCTACTGTTTTCTGACTCTATTGGCAGAAAGAGAGCCGTCAGCCCTGACCAAACATTACCTCCGTGAGAATCGTGTGTGCTGCTCTGGTTCTGTTGGATACGCTCAATCACTCAGCTCTTCACCAGAACTAACAGCAACAGGGTAGGACATGCGCTACTTCCCGTGGTTCTGTTCTCATCTTTAAAACTTAGCATTCATCACTCGTGGGGTACCACAGGGCTCAATTCTGGGTCCTTGTTGTCCTCTCTTGACAAACAACCAACTTATCGCTCTTTTCTAAACCATTACTTTGCCCAGCAATGATGTTTCCTGCTGGATCATTTTGTTACATAAAGATTGAAAATGCAAGGTTTTGTGAATTTCTTCCATTGTGTTAAATAAGATTTCATTCATAATTTATACAGTAGGTTTATTTAGTAATAGATAATGAAGAGTACCTTTGTCTGTTTCTGGTTGTGAAGCAAAGGCTCACACTCATTCATTTAGTGAAGCTTAAAGGTGGGGTATGTATTTTTTCGAAAACGCTTTAGAAAACTGATTCGGGCCGACTAGCAAAACAAACTTGTAGCCAATCAGCAGTAAGGGGCGTGTCTACTCATGATGTGGAGGAGAGAGCGTTCAGTGCACAGGACGGACATTAGCGAGCCGAGCGACAGAAAGATAGAGATGGCGGATAAAAAAACAAAAGAGGAAACCGTCTGCGGAACAAAAGAAGGCAATAAGGCAAGAAGTAGGACTCGAATAAATATCGGATCAGCTTTCCAGCACTGGAGAGAACTCAAGGAGCGGAAGGCCTGCGATCGGACGCCGAGGTGGCTTTGTTTCTTCTTGAGAGGTGAGTAACATTGGTTTTGCTTTGTTTCACAGAACTAATATATGCGAAATATATGCTGGTTTTTGCTTGAACATGCTCGTGTGTCATGTTCGCTTGTTTGTTCATCTGCAGTCATATTGTCGTTCCCTTCAGCTATGATAAAGACACATTCATTTCCACAGCCTATAAGCCTGGAGCATCTAAACCTCCACTGTCTGTTTCAAGCGTCAGCTCCCGAAGTGTGTCCGAAAAGTCAGATTTATCCCCAGTTTCACAGACAAGGCTTAAGGCTAGTCCCAGCCTAAAATGCAAGTCTGAGCCGTGTTAACTGAAAGAAACTTGCACTGACTGATCTTAAAATATATCAGTGCCTTTGTTTTGGCTCGAGATGCACACCAGTAATGTGTTTTCTAAGGCACGTTTATGAAAAATTACTTAAATGTCATAATTGAACTATGGCCTAATCCTGGCTTAGGCTAAACCCTTTCTGTGAAACCAGGCCATTATGTTTAATACAGCAGATTCCGCAATAATCGTTGCCTGGGTTACGTACCTATGTGTGGGGCGGAGCTATCAAAATAGGGGCGAGATTTGAATTATCAACATTGGCTGCCAGAAATCACTTACCCCACCTTTAAAAGAGACTCGCTTATGGTAAAGACAAACAGTTTTGCAAAATGAAAATTCAGTCGTGTTTCTGCACTGGCTCCGTGGCTCCAAACACCACAAAAACACTCTTCTTGTATGATCAATTTAGTTTTAGAAGTTTAGCTCGTTTAGTTTTATATTTTAGAGAACAGAATAGAGGCAATAGTCTGGAAACACAAATATTCCTCTATACTTGTTTTCTTTTTCCATGCTTATTCAGACCAGGAAACTACTCTCATCAAATCCCATACTTCTCCTCAAATCTCATGCATTCGTGTGAGCTCCTGTACTCATGGGCTGTGCTTTGTGCGTCTCTGCTTTGATCGATCATCTTTAATGTGCTTCATGAATAAATGTGACAGGAGGTGTGTGTTGAGACCTTGGCTCTGTAGAGCTCCAGCTCATTGTCTGTGATTCTCCAGGGCTCTTCGCTCTTCAGCTTCTCGGCAGCTTCCTGCTCCATGTCATCTTCTTTCAGCTTATATGGCTCGATCATCTGAGCAAACTCGGTCAAACTGAATGACAAACACAAGAGGTCAGTGCTTTCCCTCAGAAACGGGGTGGGAATCCTGAGCCATTTCAAAATGATTCCATGATCTTTATCGATTACTGACGCCAAACACAAGATCAACAGTTATGAAATCAGGTGTTAAACTGTGATCTGTGACAGACAGGTCATACGGCTCTTCTGAACTCTGTGCAAGCTGATACTTGCTCAGGGCTTTTTCTGTGTAACTGCCAGGCATTTTGTCTGTGCACATCATCCAGCCATGGTTAAAACTAAACTCTTTGAGTACATTCAGATTTTTCTAAGAATCATTATGCATTGCTGAATGGATTTTTCCATGCTTTTAGATAACAGATGAACAAAAAGACCCCAAATGCAAAACTAGCCCTCAAATCTCTTACACATTCCACAAACAGTTAACCGTGAAGCAGTGTTGAGGAGGGAGTTCATGTAATGAGATTAGTGTGGTGTAGTTCATACCCCTCTGACTTGGGCTTTGTGTTGATGTCGCCCAGGACCGTGATGTCAGAGAAATCGATCCTGAACTTGCTGAGCAACGTGGCCATGCTAAGGACAGAACAAAGTCTCATTACATATTTATCAGGCAATAATAAATAATGCATGGAATATTTGCCACTGCCTCCTTGCATTGAACAGTTAGTTTGCTCCTGAAAGGTTTTGTGCAGACGACTGGAGGATCCAGAAGCTCCATCATGACCGCAGCGCGGATTCGACAGAGCATACACATGTGCAGCTGAACATGTCAGTGAAAGACCGCTCACGCTTTCTATGAAGACCTCGCTGCTGGAACATGTCTAATTATAGCTAACAAAGGCTCTGGCAGCAGCTGTGGAGGACAATGGGAAACATTTATCTCACACACACACACACACACACACACACACGTGCATTCAGAGCGAGCGAGCGAGCGAGAGAGAGAGAGAGACCTGGCATACTAATGCCATCCACAGTCCGGCTCATCTGAACTATCTGTGAGATGATTTCCTTTAGCTACGATTCTGATATAATTGTGACACAAATTCATTTACCGTCTTTACGAGTCACTGAAACGCTGGTGTTTGTAACTTACATGACGATGAGGTTGGCTGTGCTCGAGTGCTCCTTCAACAGCTCGTTCAGTCGGATCTGACGGTTACTCTGAGGAAACAAAACAAATCAATTAGCAGCAAGACTGAAGTTGCTGTATCTGTTAGCAGCTGAGAAAACTAACTCTGCAGACAAGCATTTGGAAACAGTGCATCTACATACCATCATTTCACTCCACTGAGTCATGAGCACTCTAGCTAGTCTTTGTCTTAACCTTCACGTTCGAAAAATGTCATTACGGCTACTGTTTTCTGACTCTATTGGCAGAAAGAGAGCCGTCAGCCCTGACCAAACATTACCTCCGTGAGAATCGTGTGTGCTGCTCTGGTTCTGTTGGATACGCTCAATCACTCAGCTCTTCACCAGAACTAACAGCAACAGGGTAGGACATGCGCTACTTCCCGTGGTTCTGTTCTCATCTTTAAAACTTAGCATTCATCACTCGTGGGGTACCACAGGGCTCAATTCTGGGTCCTTGTTGTCCTCTCTTGACAAACAACCAACTTATCGCTCTTTTCTAAACCATTACTTTGCCCAGCAATGATGTTTCCTGCTGGATCATTTTGTTACATAAAGATTGAAAATGCAAGGTTTTGTGAATTTCTTCCATTGTGTTAAATAAGATTTCATTCATAATTTATACAGTAGGTTTATTTAGTAATAGATAATGAAGAGTACCTTTGTCTGTTTCTGGTTGTGAAGCAAAGGCTCACACTCATTCATTTAGTGAAGCTTAAAGGTGGGGTATGTATTTTTTCGAAAACGCTTTAGAAAACTGATTCGGGCCGACTAGCAAAACAAACTTGTAGCCAATCAGCAGTAAGGGGCGTGTCTACTCATGATGTGGAGGAGAGAGCGTTCAGTGCACAGGACGGACATTAGCGAGCCGAGCGACAGAAAGATAGAGATGGCGGATAAAAAAACAAAAGAGGAAACCGTCTGCGGAACAAAAGAAGGCAATAAGGCAAGAAGTAGGACTCGAATAAATATCGGATCAGCTTTCCAGCACTGGAGAGAACTCAAGGAGCGGAAGGCCTGCGATCGGACGCCGAGGTGGCTTTGTTTCTTCTTGAGAGGTGAGTAACATTGGTTTTGCTTTGTTTCACAGAACTAATATATGCGAAATATATGCTGGTTTTTGCTTGAACATGCTCGTGTGTCATGTTCGCTTGTTTGTTCATCTGCAGTCATATTGTCGTTCCCTTCAGCTATGATAAAGACACATTCATTTCCACAGCCTATAAGCCTGGAGCATCTAAACCTCCACTGTCTGTTTCAAGCGTCAGCTCCCGAAGTGTGTCCGAAAAGTCAGATTTATCCCCAGTTTCACAGACAAGGCTTAAGGCTAGTCCCAGCCTAAAATGCAAGTCTGAGCCGTGTTAACTGAAAGAAACTTGCACTGACTGATCTTAAAATATATCAGTGCCTTTGTTTTGGCTCGAGATGCACACCAGTAATGTGTTTTCTAAGGCACGTTTATGAAAAATTACTTAAATGTCATAATTGAACTATGGCCTAATCCTGGCTTAGGCTAAACCCTTTCTGTGAAACCAGGCCATTATGTTTAATACAGCAGATTCCGCAATAATCGTTGCCTGGGTTACGTACCTATGTGTGGGGCGGAGCTATCAAAATAGGGGCGAGATTTGAATTATCAACATTGGCTGCCAGAAATCACTTACCCCACCTTTAAAAGAGACTCGCTTATGGTAAAGACAAACAGTTTTGCAAAATGAAAATTCAGTCGTGTTTCTGCACTGGCTCCGTGGCTCCAAACACCACAAAAACACTCTTCTTGTATGATCAATTTAGTTTTAGAAGTTTAGCTCGTTTAGTTTTATATTTTAGAGAACAGAATAGAGGCAATAGTCTGGAAACACAAATATTCCTCTATACTTGTTTTCTTTTTCCATGCTTATTCAGACCAGGAAACTACTCTCATCAAATCCCATACTTCTCCTCAAATCTCATGCATTCGTGTGAGCTCCTGTACTCATGGGCTGTGCTTTGTGCGTCTCTGCTTTGATCGATCATCTTTAATGTGCTTCATGAATAAATGTGACAGGAGGTGTGTGTTGAGACCTTGGCTCTGTAGAGCTCCAGCTCATTGTCTGTGATTCTCCAGGGCTCTTCGCTCTTCAGCTTCTCGGCAGCTTCCTGCTCCATGTCATCTTCTTTCAGCTTATATGGCTCGATCATCTGAGCAAACTCGGTCAAACTGAATGACAAACACAAGAGGTCAGTGCTTTCCCTCAGAAACGGGGTGGGAATCCTGAGCCATTTCAAAATGATTCCATGATCTTTATCGATTACTGACGCCAAACACAAGATCAACAGTTATGAAATCAGGTGTTAAACTGTGATCTGTGACAGACAGGTCATACGGCTCTTCTGAACTCTGTGCAAGCTGATACTTGCTCAGGGCTTTTTCTGTGTAACTGCCAGGCATTTTGTCTGTGCACATCATCCAGCCATGGTTAAAACTAAACTCTTTGAGTACATTCAGATTTTTCTAAGAATCATTATGCATTGCTGAATGGATTTTTCCATGCTTTTAGATAACAGATGAACAAAAAGACCCCAAATGCAAAACTAGCCCTCAAATCTCTTACACATTCCACAAACAGTTAACCGTGAAGCAGTGTTGAGGAGGGAGTTCATGTAATGAGATTAGTGTGGTGTAGTTCATACCCCTCTGACTTGGGCTTTGTGTTGATGTCGCCCAGGACCGTGATGTCAGAGAAATCGATCCTGAACTTGCTGAGCAACGTGGCCATGCTAAGGACAGAACAAAGTCTCATTACATATTTATCAGGCAATAATAAATAATGCATGGAATATTTGCCACTGCCTCCTTGCATTGAACAGTTAGTTTGCTCCTGAAAGGTTTTGTGCAGACGACTGGAGGATCCAGAAGCTCCATCATGACCGCAGCGCGGATTCGACAGAGCATACACATGTGCAGCTGAACATGTCAGTGAAAGACCGCTCACGCTTTCTATGAAGACCTCGCTGCTGGAACATGTCTAATTATAGCTAACAAAGGCTCTGGCAGCAGCTGTGGAGGACAATGGGAAACATTTATCTCACACACACACACACACACACACACACACGTGCATTCAGAGCGAGCGAGCGAGCGAGAGAGAGAGAGAGACCTGGCATACTAATGCCATCCACAGTCCGGCTCATCTGAACTATCTGTGAGATGATTTCCTTTAGCTACGATTCTGATATAATTGTGACACAAATTCATTTATTTCAGCATGATTTCATAGGATTACAGCTGTAGTACGTACGCTCTGCGGTCATGGTCGATCCGGTTGATCTTGCCCCCGATGAAGACGCGGATCTTACAATCCTTCCATTTCTTCTTGTTGGCGATCAGATAGGGGATCAGTAGAGTCAGACCTGACGCAGACGTGTTACATCAGATTACAAACAAGAATCAACCTGTCCTAGCAGCAGAGGATGCATTACTGTTGCAGTAGCATAAATCACACATACTGTACCAAACATATGAAATAACAGATTGCAATATAAACATTATAACTAGAGGTAAGTTCCTGAAGGAAACGCTATTGTACTGCTGCTCTCACGTCACAGCTGTCAGTGTTTGTGCGTGAATGAAATGCTGCAGAGCCACTTCACTGCTGTCATGACAAGCACGCGTCTGTGTGAGAATGAACACATGACACTGGCTTTACAGCGGCTATAAAGTTAAATAGAGGAAGACGAGCTCATAGAGATTTGCCTTGTAAAACAGGAAGCTCTGGCCTTCCCCTCTGAGCAAGCTGCACAACGGCTCACATCGCCTTCAAGACACGGACGCTCGCGTCTAGAACAGCCTCTAACCTCCACACCAGTCTACATCCCGTCCAGAAGCACATCATTCAACCGGACGCATCTAATACGTTAGCCAGTGTGATGAACAGCGTTTAAGACTGCAGCAGGAGGACTCGCCAGCAGGCGTTTGTCAACGGCCCAGGGCCAGTGATTGTACACCGCTGAAGTGAGAGGAGAGCTCAGTTCAGCACTCGTATGCTGTCTCTCAGAGAGAGAGAGCTGTCTGTCTCACACGGAGGAGGACTGAAAACAAGAGTCCTTTTCACAGCTCATCACAACCCAGTGGCCAAATACACAGTCCATTTTACTAAGTATTCATGTAAACACAGCCAGATATGTCTGAAATGACTGTAGACGGTTGACAGATATCAGATGCGTGTCAGTATATTGAATCTGAGCATTAGGTCTTAAAGTGACAGCAGCCTAATAAACCTGCTGCTGTATTGTAAGAGAAAACTGAAATTTCATTGGCATACAATTTTTTTATTTTTTTTTAGCAAAGCATAAGACTGTGACATACACTATATGGATATATAGCATTGGGACCCCCCCCCTTCTAATGAACAGGTTTGACTACTTTAGTAATTTCCATGAGTACAAATCTGAATGTTTTAGCATATAGTGATATTCTAGGGAATTGTGTGCTTCTAATTTCACAGTAAAAATTTGGACAGAACCCTTTTCTATTCTAACATGACAATGGCTCTTTGTATAAGGCAAGGTTCAAAAAGAAATGATTGATTGAGTCCGTGTGGAAGAACTTGACTGGTCTGGTGTGACTTTAAATGCAGACCTTGAGCCAAAAACTCATCAGCAAACACCAGTAACTTGTACATATGGCTACAGTCATTTTAGACACGTCCAAAACTGTTGAAACAGAGATGGAAATACAGTTTTGTAAATACATGAATTATGTTTCCATCTTTGTTGACAGTTTTGGAAGTGCTTTTTCTGGTCTAAAGATGGGGGTGTCCCAATAGTGTACATGTGTCATTGTCATGACATGAAATCACTCAGATCTTTTTATGTTGTCGTCATACCTAACATCATGTAAGCTAGGTGTAGTTTTCTCTGACCTTACTGGATGTTGTGAATAGCACTGCTTTAGTAAAACTGTTCCCAGTGTCTTGGAAGACACAATTGCATGGGTTCAGGCCAAACTTTCTACCCCACTGGCAGCTCTGGGGGTATTCCAGAAAAAGGCTAAACCCATTACCCTGGAATTACATTTATGGAAGCATAAGTTGAGATCATTTCTGAAGTAACTTCTAGGGTAAGTGTTAGTTATTTCAGTTAAACGTGGCTCAGATGTGACAGCAGAGATTAGTCACAACCTAACGTGTGAGTATTTTCACCATGTTGCATATTATCCCCCGCTACATTAGCTTTTCCATCATATTTTGGAAAATAGAACTAATTGTTTCCAATATAATGAAACCAAATCGTGGCCAAATTCCAGGTTTGACGATGCATTGTAATTGTATGTTCTCGAAGCTTCTTCCACTGACCTCCGTCATCAAAGAGCCACCAGACGTCGATGGTGCCCTTCCCCTGCTTCTGCTGGAACTGCTGACTGGCGTCCAACAGCCGCTGATCCGCCACATTCAGAGGAAGCGTCGGGCTCCTCTTCTCTGAGACACAAACACACACTCAGACCGCAGATCCAGAGAGCAAGCACAACCGATTCATTCATTAGCAGACGGATCAAACAGACAGAAGAAAGAAGCACAGTCTTCAGTGGAAAGAGAAGACACCGAGTATTAGATCGCAGACAGGAAGTGACATCGGAGCTGAAACACACGCTAGCACACGTAAAGGTGAAGGTCAGAGGTCAACCCGGCAGAAACACTCCTAAACCGTCACCAAGAGAAAGTGCATGCAGGTCAGAGACAGAACGAGAGTGAGAGAAATGTCCTGCCTTTCTTCAACAGCGGCCGAGTGTGGGCTTTGCCATCCTCATCCTCATCTGGATCATGTTAGAAAAAACACAAGAGGTTAAAGTCTGCTAGTGCTGCAATGGGAAACAAGTGCGTCAGTCAAACACAAAGAGAGGCTTGTTCTGCTGCAGTTCCTTACATGAGCAGACAGGTCACCTCAGGAGCTCCATCATCATCATCATCCACTGACACACACCTCATCAGCACACCGCTCAAACGAGGGGACCGCTGTAAGCAGCTCTCCGGAGTCTGTGACTTCACGGTTTTTGTTGAATTGGCCATTACAACACCCATAAAACTAACTATTGCTGGAACTACTTGCGATGGAAGGAATCTGCTGAACACTGAAAATGATGGACTGGCCCTCAAAGTCCAGACCTCAACAACATCGAGCGAATTTGGGGCGAGTTGGAAATGAAACTGCACAGATCTATTGCACTTTGGCTTGAGCTGCAGAAGGCATGGGATAGCATTAGCGTTGAAGTTCTCAGGAAATATATTGACACTGCCCAACCCTCTACGCACACCTTGGCAATATAATCGCCATTGGCTAGTAAATTTTTTTTGTTTACTCGCCAGACTGATATACTATTTTACACACACACACACACGATTCCACCCAATCAGCTTATCTTTGTAAAATGGAACAGCTTCTTAAATAACTGAATGTGCAGTCTTAACTTCAGCCAATCAAGCAAATGAGCGCCAACCAACGAGAGCTGTTCGCACATTAGCTCCGCCCACTGCCGAGAAACCGGCATATCTTCTGCTTGTTCTTAAAAGCTGAATAATTCTAAATGAACTCTGTTATTTTGAAGGAAAATACAAGAAAGAATATGGTTTACATGTAGCGCGTCGCTCTCGCTCTCTCTCTTTGCATGTGTGAGAAACACAGCGCTATCAGTAAAGCGACGGCGAGTCGTGCGCCTTCTAGGGATGGGCGGATCGATCCTTAAGTATCGATACTTTCGATACTGATGTTGTATCG